CAAATTGTACGCATTTGGTTAGAACCCACCAAATCCAGCCTTAACTCATTCTTTGAATAAATTCCCGAGAGACCTGCGTTTGGCTTGAACCCTCCAAAACCAGCTCCAATGTCTTTTCTGAAAACGAAACGCGAAGATCACACCAGATTTTGCCCTGCATTTTCCCAAAACAGGTTGCAGAGTTTAATTTCTCACCGTTCCTGTACCTTTGGATGTAGCTGTGTGACCCTTGGGTGTAGCATTGCTGTTTGTCACAGCACTGAAGGGTGGAACCCTGACATCCAAGGATAAGCATTATTTGTACATCTTGCAATCACGCCTCCCATATGAGTCATAGTAATGTTAACCATGGCAGCAATGGCAATGGTCTTCTTAGTAGTAGTAGTAGTAGTAGTAGTGGTAGTAGTAGTAGTAGTAGTAGTGGTAATAGTAGTAGTAATAGTAGTAGTAATAGTAGTAGTAGTAGTAGTAGAAGTAGGAGGAGGAGGAGGAGGAGTAGGAGGAGTAGTAGTAGAAGTAGTAACAGTAGTAGTACTAAACGTCCAAGCCATTTATACATGCAAGACAACGGCAATAGCAAGGTTTTGTAGGGCTGGGCTTATGAGTCAATACGACTGACGTGGATTTCGTTGTGCGCAGCGGCATACGGCTTTAAGTTCACTAGTATTTTTTCATTGTGGTTGCCACTGGGGTTGCCAAGTCTAGTTTCCCACAGTTCATATACCTTTGGATGTAGCTGTGTGACCCTGGGGTGTAGCATTGCTGTTTGTCACAGCACTGAAGGGTGGAACCCTGACATCCAAGGATAAGCGTTACTTGTACATCTTGCAATCACACCTCCCATATGAGCTTTAATGATATGAGTTTTAATGATACTAACCATGGCGGCAATGGCAATGGTTTTCTTAGTAGTAGTAGTAGTAGTAGTAGTACTACTACTACTACTACAAGAAGGAGAAGACAAAGACATAGGCGTTTGCATTTCTGCGACAGGCCCCTTGGGATCCGGAAATGGCTGAGACGAGCATGAGAATCAATGCTTTGTACGAAGCCTCCGGGAATGTGCTTTGGCTTCGAAGTGGTGCATGGGCCAGCAACCAGCGCGCAGCAGCAGATGAGCAAGACCCTGGTCAGATCTCGCTGAGTTGCCTTCAGAAGTTTGTTGCCGCTTTCTTCTCCATGAAAGCAGCATTGAAAACTGGAGTCCAGCGAGGCCAGAAGAAGCAGAAAATCCACAAAAATCGGCTTCTGTGGCCTGTGACCATGGTGGCGGGCACAAGCGATGCCAAGAAGATGCGCACACCGCCCTTTGACGGTACCATGAGCCTGGCTGGTGGCCACTTCGTTGTCTGGAGCTGGTACCTTGCTGTCTTCGAGGCAATGAAGAAGAAGGCGCCCGCAGCAATATTTCTTTTTGTTTTCATTCACTTGTGCGGTGTCATGCTTTCTTTCATGTTGTGATGGCCAGGACACCGCTGCCCTGACAATGCTGTGGGAGGCAGGGCTGACTGTGAGCATCCAGCTGAGACAAATCAACAATTCAGCCGAGTGGGCATTGGCTAGAAACCTCGGGTCGGAGATGACGCGCGCGCAAGGTGACCCAACGCTGGCGGACACGTTCCTGATGTTTGCAAAGCAGACCATGATCCTTTCAGTTGACACTGTTGCAGACGGCTTGAAGCTGGATCTTCGCTTTCAAGGCAGCGACTACAACCCCAGCATGCACAAGGCGGCCAGCAACATCCTAGCCCTCATGTCAGGAGGCAGTTCCCCGTTTGAGGCTGCAATGCAACGCCTGGAGTTGGCATATGGCCGTGAGCTCCTGTCAAATGCCTATTCGAAACTGACCCGCCTGGCAAGCTTGGCAAAGTCAGTTGCTGGTGGCAGCCCTTCGGAGATTGCAGCTTGGCTGGTCGATCAGCTCCACCTGGCCTTGAAGGTGAAGATCATTGCACCTCAGAAGACTGTGGAGTCCTGGTTGGACAGGGACAGGAAGCACAACGTCATGGGATTTTGGCCTTCGGCCTTGGTCGTCAGAGAGGCGCTACCTAAGTGTGTCCTAACTAATGGCTGACAAACAACACTCTGAACCCTAAACCCATAAGTTTAGGAGGTTTAGTGGAAAAAAATGTTTGGGTGTCTCATGAACCAAACCTACCTTGCAGGTTTTTGACCTGGCTTCGCAGCTGGTGCAGAAGCTCCCTGAGACTGAGGCCAAGGAGGCTCAGAATGCTGTGAAGGAGATCCTCAACCCACTCAAGTGCTATGAGATCTACTTGAATGCTGAGTCTGAGGCCAGCGGCATTGTGACGGAGGACAATGACGAGGAATTGGATGCCCCGGAGGTGGAGGAGACAGCCTTGGGGAAGCTCAAAAGCAAGTTCAACAAGGCTACCGGCGACTTGCTTGAGCTTCTCATAAACTTGCAGAGTGCAAAGCACCTGAAGTCGTGCAAGGCCATGGCAGCAGAGGACAAGACGGTGGCCAAGCAGATCCAGGAATGCCAGGAGTGGCAAAGGAGCAACAAAAAGGAGGGCTCCGAGGAGGGCCCGTGTGAGCTCCTGAGGCAGCTCACCTGCGTTGTGCAGAGTTTTGAGGTGGGCGCCACGGTGACTGCTAGTGCAGCTGCCCCAGCCCCATCCTTGATCGCTGCTTTGGGTGGAGCGGCTGCCAATGAGAATGAGGAGAACATGGCTGCTGAGCGCGACCGCGTGTGGAAGTTGGTCCAGGCAGAGCGAAAGAAGTACATCAGCTTCAGCATCCCAAGAGACTTCACGAAGGACAAGCTGAGCGATGCTTTCCGAGCAGCCTCCAAGGTCTACAATTTCAGCGGTTCCCTGAACATGAGCCACAGACTCGTCATGGGCTCTGCTGACCTATTACATGAATTTTCAGAGGAGCCGTGGGCCAACGCGAGCAAGCCGGCCGACGAGGTCTTTCAGGGAGTGGCCGACTTCTTGGCGGGCTTGACAGGCTCCACCGACTTCGCTTTCGCGTTCGATGGGAGAATGCGTGAGTGTCGCCGGATCTTGGATCCTTGGCTGCATTTGCCTTATTTGAGTCATAGTGTAAACTCCTATAGTATCCCCTTTAATGATTCTGATTGTAGTCCCCCCTGTATAATTCCTTTCATAACCTAAGGAGTTTTGACTACAGCTGTGACTGTGGCTAGATAATAAGGAAGACTCAGTGCTGTCGAAAAGTCAGACAGAGCAACTGTGGTTGATATTTGAGGGTGGCTGTCCTGCCAGAGCTGGACGAACCCGCCGTGTGTGCCTGGGAGGGCGAAAGGTAGAAAGTGCTGCAATTCGGTTGCCACAGCCTCGCAGCCGAGTGAAAGTCAAAAAGCGTGAGGCCTTCAACTCCTGTGGCGAGCACACCACTTATCAGAGTACGTACAGCGGAGTGCGATTTCGCTCGAGCAGTGAGCTGCCCCTGATCCAGCTTGCTTTGAAGCGGAAGATATTGGGGAACGAGGCCCCAATTGCTCCGGAGGGCTGGCGTGATAGATTTGGCGATGATAGCGTGCCATTGTTTTGGCAGGAGAGCAAAGGGATCAGCTTCTGGAACAGTCTGCTTGACGACTGGCGTGCCGGAGCCATATTCGATTGTTCTCCTGGAAGTGGCGCATTGATGGAGTCGGCGTTGGGGAGAGGAACATTGTATCACGGGTGCTGCCTGAGCCTAGGACATTCTAGAGTTTAGGGTTGATGCTTTAAGCTTTGATCCTGATAATCATAGAACATGCTTTACATCGCGCATAATGGGCCACTTAGGAACAGGGAGCACATGAGTTGGCTCCAAGCGGTCGCAGATCGCGCCGCGGCCGGCATGATAACGGTTGAGGGCTCCACCTTGTTCAACGCTGACTTGGCAGCCCAAGTGAAGAAGCTGCCTCTAGATTGTCATGGAGAACAATTTTCTGTGTTTGGCTGACCGCCTACTATTAACGAAACCCAAATCTTGAAGTCACAGCCCAATTTCACAAATATGACAGGTTCGGTGACATTGTGAACTCAGTTGTGAAGGAAGCTGAGGAGAATGATCCTTTCGAGCCTGACAGTGGCTCAGAGGGCAAGGCAGAGTGATTGCGTGGTCCTGAGCCCTCAGCCCCAAGTAATCACTGCCCCCTAATAATAATACATCCTCCCTAATATTAAGTACGGGTTGGCCAACATTCTAAATTCAAAGCTACTTCTAAACCGGCCAAGACGAAACTTAATTGCGGCTCGGATCCGCTGAATTAGCAGGGATTTTAGCACGACTCAGAATTCAGGACCTCCTTTATTTTCTAGATTTTGATTGTTCTTGAATGATTTTTATCAAAGGAATCTGTAAAGAAAATTCCACAGATTTCAATGCCCTAGTTTGAAGTAGGCCCTAATAAGGCCCTAATTCGAAATAGTCCCGAATAAGCCCATAGTTTGCAATATTATCTAATGAGACCCTAGTTGGAAATATTCCTAAATAAGGCCTTAATGTGGAATGAGGCCCTAATTTGAAATCGTCCTAAATAAGGCTCTCATTTGGAATAGTCCCTAATAAGGTCCTACCTTGAAATAGCCTCTGATTAGATTTAATTGAATTTCATGCCATCTTCATCAGGTTTCAATAGGACCCCAGTATATACCCCCCTAATTTTCGGGCCGAACACAGGGAAATACCACCCCTGATATGAACTAGAGAAATGTTAATGAAGGGTAAATATCCTGTCTAGCCCGTTCATACATGCACTTCATGTCCTAAGCTGATGTTCTATGTCTTGACTAGTGAAGCAGTGTCAGTGCTGCTGCAATCACTTTGTCTTCGCCTTCGCGTGTAGTGTAGTTCTTTGCCTCGGCCGATTTATAGACCAGCCTCTGAACTGCAGCTGCCTGAGAGTGCTGGGCCACGCATGCCTGCGCAAATTTTGACATGGCCTTGTAGCTTCTCAGCCCTGGCTGCTGCTGTGAACATTGTCGTTGCACGAAAGTTTTTCAACCCGCTCGGTGTCATGGCTTGGTTTCGGGTGCCCTACTAGGGGTTTATACGGGTGTACCTTTGGCCGCAGTAGTGCGCCTGGATTGGGTTTCAATAATATAATAACGGTGTCCTCGCAAGTTGGGCCTCGCTGCTAGGACTTCGGGTGCAGTATGCTCACTCAATCTTTTGGTTAGTAAGGCTTTGGGCTCTTGATTTCATAGGCATTGTTGAGCATAGCAGTGGAGGCCCGCCGTAGTTGTCTCCTTGAAGTGCGGGATTCAAGCC